GTGCTTTATCTACCTATGTTGGATTACCATTGACAAGTAAATAAATTAAAGCGGTAAAAACACAATAAACATGTTGACGGAGAAACCCAATTGGGTAAAAACTCCGGGCACAAGTCAGTAGAGATTCACTATTGTAGAAACCAACTTACAGCATGCCAGACATCATTGACACTCTCAATTTTCTGACCTCCTTGCTGTATGAACTCAAGACCCTCCTGGATTTTGCAGATCCGTGCTAAATCCCAGCCTTGTATAATTTCTACCTCCCATGAATCGCCACGCACTCCAGCTCTTCAAGCAAATCCTTCCCGGATCTTCAAACTGATGATCTTCTGGAAGTTTAATTGGAGTTGTGAGACAGGTGTTTTGGTGTTTATGGATTTGATGTTTTTACTCAACAAGCCAAAGATTGGTATGAGAACAATGAAGGATTTCTTTGGCTTTTGATCCTTGGAGAGAATGATTTGGATTTTTGGTTGCCAAGGAATTGAAAGAATATTCAAAGTGTTTTCAATGTGAATTTTCGGGTTAATGAACACGAATAGGACGTTTGGTATATATAGAGGTTGATATATGGTAATGTGGATTGTCAAACATTCGCGAGCATTTAAAATTAGAGTTGGCTAGGTAACACGGTCGCTCGAGCGAGGTACTGGCGAGCCTTGAGCGACGTACATTTCGCTCGAGCGATGGCTCAGCGTGAGTCCAGCGAAGTTGGTTCTGCAATTGTGGCTCGAGCGAGGTCAGGGCGAGGCTCTAGCAAAATCAAAGTGCCGCTTGCATCTTCGAGGCATCCCACACAACCCTAGACCTAGCCTATAAACTTTAGTTAATTGCAACTCTAGTCCCTGAACTATTAGACATTGACAATTTGGTCCTTGACTTTACAATTTTGACAATTTGGTCCTTGGTCACAGATTTGCCAATTACATATTTTCCTAACAAACTCCCCCTTTGACATTCTGTGACAAAAACACATTTGACAGTCAAGGATAAAAAATAAATTGACTCCAAACTACCAATCTATTCTATCATATCAGCAATATCTTGTTGAACCTGTTTCCTGAAAAACAAAACCCAAATACCACGTGAAAAAGCATGTGAAATGGAAACAGTAAATATAGACAAGATATAAATCATATATCATTAACCAGATTAAGAAGCAACAATAATGTATGTCTAAAACACCAAAAACAGACCTTAAGATTGCCAAAACATTAAAAACTTAATCTAGTTATAAAATGACATATATACATCAACTTTATATCATAGTTATCAAAAAATAATTATTTGCTCCAATATCTATGCAGCTCCAATATCTATGCAATCTACTCCATATCAATTCAATCAATCTACTCCCCCTTTTTGTCACAAAGGGCCAAAGAAAAGCGAAAGCAACAAAACGAACTAAGAAGCATCATCTCCAGCACTGGAAGAATCAGAACCACTCTCAGCACTCGTGCTCTCCTCCAAATGATCTCGAATCCAGCTCAACTGACGCTGACAGACAGCAAGAGCACGGCGAAACGTAGACATCTCGGCTGACTGACGCTCCGAAGCAGCACGTAACTGCGTGATCTCAGCTATCATACGAGCTTGCTGCTCGATCAGTGTAGACATCTGACCCATAAGCGTCACCATGGGGTCAACGGGCAGAGAAGCCACCCCCGGAGCAGAAGTAGATGTCGAAGCAAACGCAGAGCTAAGAGGCATAGTAGAAGGAAAAACTGGACGAGGAGGGAGAAACACACGGGAACCCCCTGTAAGAATCTCAGTAATAGGATCAAAGGGCTCCGAAGGATCAAAAACATCAGGGGTCACAGCCGGAGCGGTAGAGGAAGATGACAGTACATGGGATCGACTCTGATGAATGGTCTGCTGTCCAATCGGACGTCTTATGCGACAAGTCGAACCCTCCGGAAAAGAGGCACCTAAAGACAATGCAACCCGATGAATCAAACAAGCATAAGGCAACCCGATCCGACCCCCAGGAGTACGAAAGGAAGCCAGAATATTCTGGCACACAAAACTAGGAAAGTCGATCGAGTCCCCATGAAGAAGGGCATACAGAAAACGGGCACGCACCATAGGTAGAGAAGAGGTATGGGCAATAGGCCACATGTTTGTGCACACTATGCGCAACAAGACCTGACGATCAGTAGGCAATGACCCCGTGGCCATCGCCCTAGGCCCACCGATAGACGGGGTGTTCAAAAGCGTAGACCGAACAAGAGTATCGGTAGGAATAGAAGCAGGTAAAATATAGGGGTACGTCGGATGGGTAATCTGAGGTATACCTATGGCATGAGCTACAGCCGATAGAGTAACTCTAAACGAATAACCTCTAAGAGTAACCCGAAAGGACGAGCCGTCTATATCATGAATATTCGCGTAGAATTCCTGAACGAGGAGTGGAGGAGGAGGTGAAAGACCAATAAGAAGGGACTCCCAACCCCGGGAAACAAAAATGGCGGCTATATCAACAGGAAGATCAGATAAGATTACCTCACGCTCCACGAGAACGGGGCGTAAGGAGAACTGAGAAGTGAAGACTTCCTGAGCTGTAGCAGAAATGAATCTGGAACGACTATACGACGTCGAACCACTAGCTGGCTGTGCAGAGGATCGAGAACGCTTACGGGCCATCTGGCATTCGTAGAGACAAAACTAATAAGTAATATGAAGAATGCACGTGATTCGATGCAATGTGGAATGAAACACCACACACACAAAAGAGGCACAATAGAGATGCATCGACAAACGTGAATGACCCTAAGCACAAACGAAGTAAGATGAAGATATAGACCAAAAACATGTGTGAACACACCTATCATAGCACGTGATGACAAAGAACCAACGACGGAAAGGAAAGAAAGAAATGAGATGCACAAAAAAAAAGAAAACAAAGAGTAAAATAGGTAAGGAATTTCATCGAGCATGTGGCGTGCATCACTTTGTCACACAATTCCAAGCACATATGATATCCAAACACCCATCCAATCATAGTCCCTCAAACTAGAAACGACGTACTTTAAAATGAAACAAACCACACGTTAAACGGATTAACGGAATGCAAGAACGAACGAATTGAAAATTGATGAAAAACATGTAAATCACATAGTTCGAAGAATGAAGAAATCAAAAATGCAATGGAAATCATGATGCACAACGTGGGAAAGAACTCCCAATGAAACAAGGAATGTCGAAGCCACTATTAATTAAGTAACAATCAAGCAAGAATACCAAAGTAAGCCAAACACACGACAAAGAGAAGGAAAACGAAAAAAAAGAAAAAAAAATTACCTCAATATGAAGTTTGGCAAAGGAAATCCGGAAATAAATATGTTATGGACCGTGGAGTGATGTTATTAGAGGAATATGGGGATGAAATATGGAGGAAATCTTGAAGAAAAACGAAGGAGAAGAGAAAAAGAAGAAAATGCGCGAAAAAAATGAAACAGGACCGTTTTAAAATAGGCCTGTCGCTCGAGCGAGAGTCCAACAAGACTCGGGCGACAGGCAAACTGCTTTTGTCGCTCGAGCGAAGACCAGGCGAGACTCGAGTGAAACATCAAATGTCAAAAATAGCACCAAAATTTTGAATTTTGAGAAAAATAACATAATCTTCAAGAAATGACGAAATTAGCCCCAAATCGTGAAATTCCAAAAATAAGTGAACTACGTAATAGTGGAAAATAATCCAAAAAAATAGCATGGAACCACATATGCAATCAAAACCAACAATAAGCATAAAATCACAAACCCGACCACCAGTACGTAGACAAATCGTTAATCCACACATAGTTCAGAATCCTGAGTAGTAAAGTGTATACAGAACATCACCGTGAAAAGTGCCACTTAGTCCATGCAAGCTAGACTCAAAACTTTAAATTAGTGAGAAAGGACACGTGAAAACAACCCGACAAAGGTGAATGTCGACCAAGTGACAGTCAAATCCAATTCCACGAGGACCTATATCAAATACTATGATTGTCACAATTTACTCTCCCTAACTGTATGATTCCAAATTTTTATTTTTATCTTCTTCCTTTTTTTTTTTTTTTTTTTTTTTTAAAAAAAAAACTTTCAAAATTGAGCCCATTCCGACAAAGTCGATAAAACCTTACTTTAAAATTAAAAAATTTTTTTTTTTTTTTTTTTCCTTTTTTTTTTTTTTTTTTTTTATAACAAAAGAACTTAAGTGCAATGCCATCTCCATTAGGCAACATAAATGACCCCTGTAATGAACTTTCGACCGGTGACTCCCAAGTTAGACGACCATAGGGCACCAGGTTAGAAACCCCTCAGGCTTAATTGTTCGAGTCAAATAGGCCCCGAAAATAGCCATAAGTTCAACAAAGAACAAAAGTAAAACTGGGGAAAGACAATATTGATTAGGTTACACTCGTCCCAGATCAAGTCAAATGTACATACAACCCCAATCATAGAAGAACACCATCCCAAGTCTTACCCATGCGGTCAAGACTCACTTACAGGACTACAGTGTGTGTTGTGTGAAAATGAATGACGAGCCATATACCCAGAACTTCACATTGAAAAATGAACAAAGATGGATCCTCAGATTCATACACATGTTGGAAAAATAGAATTTGATCTTTAATGCAAATGCCAGAATCGTTACATAAAAGTCCAAAAATTTATTCTATTTTATTTTATCTGATTTTTTTTTATTAAAACACACATATAACACATAACAGAAGACTAAACAAAACAAAAGAAATGCATCACACAACACAGATCACACGCAAGATATGAAGTGATGAGATACATATGTGATGAATGCATGAACATGCATGAATCCATGATCAAATAGGTGAGCAAACACCAACAGCCGCCCGAAGCGACTCAAACCTCAATTCATCTAGTGGTTTCGTAAGTAGATCAGCCAATTGATTATCAGTAGAGACATGGTCAAGAGAGACAACATGTGATTCAACAAGCTCTCGAATGAAATGATGTCGTATGTCAACATGTTTTGTTCAAGAGTGCTGAATGGGATTCTTAGAAATATTTATCGCACTCGTATTATCACAGAAAACAGTCATTGTCCCTTGACTAATCCCATAATCACTAAGCATTTGTTTCATCCAGAGAAGCTGAGTACAGCAACTCCCTGCAGCTATGTATTCGGCCTCTGCCGTGGATAAAGATATTGAATTTTGTTTCTTACTTAGCCAGGCTACGAGATTGCTACCCATGTAAAAACAACCCCCAGTTGTACTTTTCCTATCATCTGCATTTCCGGCCCAATCGGCGTCGGAGTATCCAGCCAAATCAAGATCGGAATTCCTAGAATAGAATATCCCTAGATCCACTGTACCACTGATATACCTGATTATGCGTCTAACAAAGTTTAGGTGTGACTCTTTTGGATCTGCCTGAAAGCGAGCATACACTCCTACACTAAAGGCAATGTCAGGCCTAGTAGCTGTGAGATAGAGAAGACTACCTATCATGCTACGATATAGGGAAGGATCTACACTCTTACCAGAAGGATCACGACCTAACTTTAAGCTAGTACTCATCGGTGTTCTAGTATGCTCTTACTATCTAACCCAAATCGCTTAACGAGATCCTTAGCATACTTAAACTGTGAGATAAACAATCCATCCTCTGTCTGTCGTACCTGAAGTCCAAGGAAATAACTTAACTCTCCAACCATACTCATCTCGAACTCTCTCTGCAGACACTCAGCAAACTCAAACGCTAAAGACTTAAGAGGAGACCCAAAAATGATATCATCGACATAAATCTGAGCAATGGTAAAATTTTCTTCTATATGTCTAATGAATAAGGTCCTATCTGCACCACCTCGAGAGAACCCATGTTCTTCCAGATATGATGTAAGTCTCTCATACCAAGCTCTAGGAGCTTGCTTCAAACCATAGAGTGCTTTGTGAAGTTTGTCGACATAGTGGGGAAATTTTGGATCAACAAATCCCTTAGGTTGTTCCACATATACTTCTTCCTGAAGAAGTCCATTCAAAAAGGCACTCTTAACGTCCATTTGATGCAACTTGAACCCTAAGGTACATGCAACAGCAAGTAGAATCCTAATAGACTCAAGTCGTGCAACGGGGGCAAAAGTCTCATCAAAATCAATCCTCTCAACTTGAGTATACCCCTGAGCAACTAATCTCGCCTTATTCCTAGTTATAGTACTTTGGTCATCTGTTTTGTTCTTAAAGATCCACTTGGTACCAATAACATTACAATTTTCAGGTCTGGGAACTAAGATCCACACATTATTCCTAGCAAATTGATTTAGCTCCTCATGCATCGCATTCACCCAACACTCATCGCTAAGGGCCTCTTCAACTTTCTTAGGCTCTACCTGAGAAACATAACTAGTGTACGCTAGATTGTTCAGTACTCTCCTACGAAGTCTCATCCCTTCATCTAGATCCCCAATAATATTATCCTTAGGATGACTAGACTTAACCCTAGTCGATGGTTCCTTAGGATTTTTATCTAGATTTTGTGGAAGTGTTTCCTTTTCAGATGTTTCAGGTTTCCTACGAGATGATTCAGGCACAGGTAGCTCAGTAGGATCACTTGAACTCAAAAGATCACCATCTTTATCACATTTTTCAGCACTCTCCCCATCACTAACAGCATCATCTATCACAACATTTATAGACTCCATCACCACACGGGTACGTAAGTTTTACACTCTAAATGCTCG